AGCAAGGACAGGAGGAATCAGGCTTCATCTGTTCTAATGACCATGACCGTGAGGGAGGTGAGTCCCCAGCGGGTGAAGACACTGCTGTGAGGAGTGGGTGGTGGCATCAGGCGGCCCTGGATTCAAACCTCACTTCATCACTTCCCAGCTGTGTGAAGCCTGAACGCTCTCAGGCCCCGTTTCTGTTCCTCCGGCAGAACCATGAGAATAACGATACCCATCATGCAGGGGTGTCGGGAGTCAATGAAACGTCCGTAAGTGCCGACATTATCAGAAGCAGACGATCAGTTTATGTCAGTTCTGTCACCCTAATGCTAAGGTCTGTCTCTGTGCACTGAGGTCATTTAGAAATGGTTCAAATGTATAATGTCTTGTTTTTCTTAGGGGAAGAGGGAATTCTAGCACACAGGTGATGGGGGTCCCACACTTTTTACTGGGTAACTGAAACTCAAGTATTGAAGTAAAAAAGCTGCTATGTTACAGAAGCCACAGCCCAGACGGCATTCACGATTCAACGAACAAAATCCAGGAACGAATGGAGACAAGGGAAAGCTTTCTGCTTGTGATTTATGTGCTTCTCGTTCCAAGCCAACATGAGCTGCTTCCCAGGACGTGGAAACTGGCAGCAGACCTCAGCCTGGAAACATGCTGACAGCGCATTCAAGGGCAATGTGTAAACAGGAGGCTCTCATGAGTAGCCACCAGCCTTCCTGAAGGATCAGCAGTTCTTGAGACAATTAATTCTCCAGAGGGCAGCGGAGGAGGAAACAAATGAAGTCATTCTACTTGTTCATACCACACTTGAAAGATGGACAAAAGTGCTTTAACTCTGTCTTTGGAGGAGCTGCCAGTTTCCAGATCAATTTCTTGAGTTGAGTAAATAATGGAGACCCTCCTTTGGAGGAGGGCAGACTGCCAGAGTACATAAAGCCACGGTAGGTTCGGTACAGGAGGTGGAGAAAGGACAGGTGAGACTAGGTGGGTCAAAATGGAGGCATCAGCCCTTCACCCCCTGGTATTTTCACTCCTGCTGCTGCGCATGGCATGTTCCACTGTCCTCTGCAACTGCAGCGAAGAGGCACCATGCTGACTCCATGGGAAAGTGGAGAGGCCGTTGAGTGCAGAGAGAAAATCTGGATTCTAGCACTAGCCCAGTTTCTTGCTAGTTGTGTGTCCTTAACCTCGGTTTTCTCATATGGTAAAAGAGAAGGGCGAAGGAGATATTTTCTCCCATACTCATATAAATATAAAATCACAGGATTCTAAGTCACTGACGGAGATCCTTATGGGTCCCTTGTGTGAAGGTGTCACATAATTTAATATCACAGAATTTCTTGAGCTCTCAAGAGGAACTGGAAACAAATTTGTAATCCACCTCCCCCGCACCCAGTTTTTACACGGTGACAGTGGGTACCCACATCCCCAGAAGCTGCCCTACCTCCGTAGCTGCAGAACTGCCACCAAGGTCCCGGGAAACAAAGAGGTTGACAATTGGCCTACTGATTCTCTGTGTAGCCAAGATGAGAGCCAAAGGCCACCAGAAGCTCAGCATCTTTCTTATTGTTGCATCTCCCTGCATCAAGAAAAGGGGATAAAAGTTCACTGAACTCTGGAAGCAGAATAGAAAAAAACAATTCAGAGTCAAAGCCTTTTCTTTCGATATCAATCATGAGTCAATTCACTATACTTAAAAATAATATAGAAGAAGCCTCTGTAGACAAGCCAAGTTGAATTAAAATAAAACGTACAGTCTTAATAGAAATGAACTCAGACAGCTGGCAAGCTACTGTGAAATCAAAACACACATTTAAGCTTGATGGATCCAAACGCCTATTTTCCAAACAGGGCAACTTTAACCCAAGCAGAACCCAACTTCATAGCCCAAGAAACAGGCTGGAAATTAGTTTCTGTTTAAATTACCAAACTGACTAGCTAGAAGCCATGTCAGTAAGACGTAACTCTTAGAAGTAAAACATTGTTATACTTTATTTTGGAATCAGTCTGCTCACAAATGTGCCTAATTATTTGGGCACTGTATAAATCTACTCAGAGGTTCCTATTTTCAAAGCTCTGACAGAAGTCATGTAAATGTTCAGAAGCACAAGCAAAACAGAAGCATGGTAATGAGAAGGCGACTTATTAAGAATCCTACAGCAAAGATGTGCGCCTTTTTTTTTTTTTTTTTGCGGTACACAGGCCTCTCACTGTTGCAGCCTCTCCCATCGCGGAGCACAGGCTCCGGACGCGCAGGCTCAGCGGCTATGGCTCACGGGCCCAGCCGCTCCGTGGCATGTGGGATCTTCCCAGACCGGGGCACGAACCCGTGTCCCCTGCATCGGCAGGCGGACCCTCAACCACTGTGCCACCAGTGAAGCCCTAGATCTGATATTATTGATGGCCTGACCTCAGATCAAGGTGGGTGGTCAATACAATTACTGGTTTTTTGGTTATTTTTGGCTGCGTTGGGTATTTGTTGCTGTGCGTGGGCTTTCTCTAGTTGTGGTGAGCGGGGGCTACTCTTCATTGTGGTGTGCGGGCTTCTCATTGCGGTGGCTTCTCTTGTTGCGGAGCACGGGCTCTAGGCACGTGGGCTTCAGTAGCTGCAGCACACGGGCTCAGTAGTTGTGGCACATGGGCTTAGCTGCTCCACGGCATGTGGGATCTTCCCGGACCAGGGCTTGAACCCGTGTCCCCTGCATTGGCAGGTGGATTCTTAACCACTGCACCACCAGGGAAGTCCCGCAATTACTGTTTTGACATGACAAAAGTAACGTGGTCAAAGGTGGGTTCAAGGGGTGGAGTGTGGTAATTTATTCAGGGCCATATTCATATAGATAAATAAATAAATAAATAAATAAATAAATATATAATATACATAATCATGCATCTCTGCCTTATATCTAGATGGATACCAACCCAAATGATACCTAAGGATAGAGAAATTAGCAAACATATAAATCAGATACTGTTTATAATGATGATGAAAAGAACCCTTTGGTCACTTGTATAAGATTGTATCTTGCTTGTACCATATTCACCTTTCAAGGCACAGGCCAAGCTCTGCCTCCATCAAGGGGGCTTTTTAGACCTCATCCTTATCTACCTTCTCTCAGCCTCAGTGAGAGAAGTCCTTGAACTCCTGTTGCAGTCTCTGTACTTTCTTGGGTTCGTGTCTGAATGTTGCTTCTGTGCTGGATCAGCCAAATGGGACGTAAAGCTGCTTGAGGCCAGAGACCGTATTTGAAAACTTCCTGTGTTGACCTGTGGTACCTAAATACTCTGCTCCCTCCATAGAAGGCACCTGAATGAGTGATTGTGTTTGGCCAGTACAGAAAGTACAAACACAGCCTGGATCCCTGGTGTGAAACTAAAAATAATCAAATGTGAGTTCAATGGTACCAGGGGTCCTAAAATCTGTCGAGCACAGAATGACTTCCTTTTGACAACAGAGAGTAAGGAGGACGTCAATGTTGTGTCTCCTCCTCGGCCTGACATGACTCACTGTGACTTGGTCTCCTCGAATGGAGGCAAAGAGGCTGGAGAGTGACCTCTAAGGACTCTTTCATCTCCAGAGTTCATCAGTTCTCCAACTGTCTTTCCCTGTGGACAGTATGAAGCACTTGGCCTTGAGATACAACATCCCAGAGCATGTGCTTGTTACACTGATGTCTCGTTTCATACGTGTGGGGTGAAACTATATTCCACTTGGATGTACAGACAGCATGCCCTCGAGGTCTAAGGACCTACCCCCAGCTCCGGTCCACTCCTGTCCGGGATGATGTCGTGGATGTTCTTGTAGTAGCCCAGGCACAGGGTGGTGCAGCGCACAAGGGCACCCATGTACAAGGATAGGATGGGGATGAGTAGAGGCTCTCTGCATTCCAGATGACTGTGAAGCAAAATGGCGACAAAAACGACCTGAGAGATGGGGAAACAAGAACAAGTCAGTAGGGAGAAGACGGAACCAATCCATGGGGCTACAGCTCAATACTGCTCTCAGAGAATTCAGGGTCATGCATTTGGGATTCACTGGAAGAGCACACGATCATTCTGTTGTATTCATCAGTAAGATTCTTTTAAGGAAACTGCACATCTGGTTAAAGTTATCGATTAAAAAAAGCCTAGAAACTTTGGATTCCCAGACCCCAAAGGATGCAGAAGAGCTTTGCCCTATCGATGTACACAGGTAATCCACACCAGAGGACCTAAGTGACCTTCCACAAAGGATAGAACAGTGACCAATGATGGTACACAGAAAAATGGACATTAACATTTATAACATGGAATCCACTAAAAATGTTGCCAAAGCACCAGTGTTAATTATTATAAAACAAGATAATTAAAATTTAAGATATTAACTCACAAAAGTGGCACAGGTCAAAAAATACAAAGTCAAGAGGGATTGAAATAACAGTAAAGTGTCAATCTCTATTGAACAGTACAGGCTTAAAGCAAATTTATCAATGTATTTAACCTCCCATCCTGCAGAAATCAGAGAATCAGCCCCGCCTCTGTCCAGAGTCCTTCCTGGGATTCACATGTTTGGAAGACCACAGAGGCGTACTGAGTGCAAAAATAGGGTAATGGGGGAGGGGAGAGATTGTCTGGGCTACATCAAGTTTTGTTTGTTTGTTTAAAAAAATTCGTTGTTTAATTTATTTTGAAGAGGAACACGGTGATTAAATATCAAGATTTATAAAAAGTCTACATAGTACCTTTGAACCCCATCCATCCATTTTCTATCCACTACAGCAATGAATCTGTTTGATTATTTTCAGGAATAATATTCTAAATATTTACCAACAGACTGAACAACTGAACAGAACAGACAGCGTGCCTGGCTGTTATGGTAAGAACCAGTTGAATATCAGCCCTACATTAGTTTTGTATTTGTCCTTAGAGATTTTTGTTAAGTAGTATCCATTTTTCCCCCTCCTTCTTTTATTTATTTATTTTTCATTTTTAAATTTGGGGGGGGGGCTACATCAATCTTAATAGCCAAATATCCATGGAATGATAGGCTTGTGAAATATACCACCACTAAATGATCCTGACCAAAGGAGGCGTACCCTGATCACTGCATTCTCAAGAAATCAGTGATGACAGAAAGTTAAAAAAGAAGCTGGAGAATGAGCACAGTTCATCAAATGAGTGCGTTCAGTTGCCACAGGGGACAGAGAAAAGCAGGGTAATCCAGAGAAACTCTTCTGAACGAAATAATAGTATTAGATGTTAGAGGAGGTTTGCCTGTAGCACAAACCGACACTTGTGCCCGGGGTTGCTGTTCTCAGACCGGTAAATGGGACAGAGAGGTCCTTAGGGGGATGGAGGGGACAGAGCTACCGCTTGGCTGCATGGACATGACCAGGCTGCCCAGAGCATGGACGCATGAGTGTCCACTCAGGCTCATGATCACACACTCACGTTCACTTTCACCGAGGATACAGTGGAGCCCATTGATGGAAATAAAGATGCCCGTGACTGTCTCCATGCCTGCTGCTTCCCCGTGGAACAAATGTACTGTATTAACTGAGGGATGCAAAGATCAGCTGGGGGAAACCTTGTGAAGGATCCATTGTGTTTGGAACAGAAGATGGAGTTCTGTAATGTGGCCAAGATGCCCCTTTATTTCTCTAACTTATCAGAGGCCTTAAGGGGCCCTCATATGCAAACAGACTAGTCTGTCTGCAGCAAGCTTAAGATTCGACATACACAAACCTACAGTGCAAACGAAGATGGTCATGTTTAGAGACTGAAAACACACTGGAGGAAAAATGGATATGTGAAGACCAACCCCTCCTCTGCCCAGTCCAGAAAGGCTCCCGGTGATGCCATCAGGATGGCCATGCAAGACGAGTAGGACCACAGAAGGGGATGTGGAAGTGAAGGAAAAGGGAGGGGGAGGTGTGGAGATGACAAGAAAGTGGCCCGAGGAGCAGAGCAGGCTAGAGTGTGGCAGAGGGTGGGCAGGAGGCATTGGGCCGGTAGCAATCAAGGCCGAAGTGAAGATTTTCTCAGCCTCCCTCATGTCGTTAATAGCTTGACGCCAGGTGGTCCAACACATACCATACATCTTACATCTTCACTGTGGGCTGTGTCATTTGTCAACTTAAAATAACACCTGGGCCTTTTGCAATTCAATCCAGAATTAAGAGTTTTGATTCTGATACCATCATCAAAACTTTGTCGGACTATTTTCTGTGGGTAACCTACTGCCTCAGTGGTGAGGATTTTCCCAGGGAAAGCCTGCTACATGCTGGCCCCGACCTGGGTGCTGGGGATTCAGTGATGGATCAGATTGTCCCAGGCTCTGTTCTCCTGGAGCTGACAGCCTAGTGGGGAAGGCAGAGATGGTAATCAACCTGTGAAAAGGCCTGTGAAGGAAAGAGGGCGGTGGTGCTGGGAGAGCCAGGCTGTGGGGTGAGGGAGGGCGCCCCACGTCGGGTGCATCTGAGCCGAGACCCAATGCCTTGGCAGGAGCCCGCAGGGGCTGACAGGAGCCAGGGTTAGGTGGGGCAAGCCGAGGCAGGGCATCTCCTTCCGGGCAGGAGCCAGGCAAAGCCCCCAGCGGGAGGCAGCTCGGCCACATTGAATTGGTCGCAAGGGAGGACCAGTGGCTGGAGGGTAGAGAGCAAGGGGACAAGAGGAAAGTGACGGGGCTGGGGAAGAAGCAGAGCCTGTGGGGTTTCAGCACCTCGTAGACCATGATGAGGATTTTGGCTTTTTATCTCAAGAACACCAGGAGGTGATTCTAAAGCAGGTTCGAGGCAGGGGGTGAGATGGCCAGAATTTCACTGAGAATAGATTCCCTGTGGCCGCAGTGGGGAAGGACAGAGGAGAGCCAGAGCAGAGGGGCAGGCCCGAGTCAGGAGGCATCGCTGAGAGTTCAGGTGGGAGGCGTGACCCCTCAGACCAGGGCGAGGGCAGCCAAGATGGGGAGAAGAGGGCACATAAAGAAACGTCTAGGATTAAAAATTTTAGATGGAGGGTCCTGGAGAGGGGCGCTCCTAGGGTGGCTCCCAGGTTTCCGAGCTGATGGCAGGGGCACAGATTCATTCAAAACCACAATCATCAAGATCATGAGGAGTAGGAACTGAGGCTTACGATGCCTCTGAAGGATGTGAGTGGAAACAGCATAGAGATATTTAGATGGCTTGTCTAGAGCTCAGGGGACAGGGCTTGGCCACAGATATTTACCTGGTGATCATCAATCATGTTACAGATGGTTTAAACGTAGGGCATGCAGTAGATTCTTCATGAATAGAATACACAGTAAGGAGAGAGATGGATCTTGAGGAAATTCAACACTTACACATCAGTAGATGAGCTCGGCCGTCAGAAGTAGGAGAAAAACCAGGACGTGGTGGTGTGACAGCCAATGGGAAGGGATGTTTCATGGACGAAGGAGAAGTCAACAGAGTGAAGAGTTGCTGAGACAACCGTTAAGTCGACAAAAAGTGCCCGCTGGATTCAGTGGCAAGAGGGTCACTAGTGAGAACAGTGTGGGTGAACTGATGGGAGTGGAGGTCAGCGTGGGGTAGGTAAAAGGAAGAAAGAGAAGTGAAAAAGTGGAGACAGGGAGAGGAAACTGGCCTTCCAAAAGGTGTGTCTGGGAAGTAATAGAGAATTGTAGCTAAAGACGTACATGAGAAAAAGCTTGTTGTTGCTGTTGTTATTGTGCTAAGATGGCAGATGTCTGAGCATGTTTCCATGTCGAAGAGAAATGATCCAGGGGAGAGAGAAGGAGTCACTGATAACCAATCAAATAAGGTTCCTGAGAAAGCAGGACAGGATAGGCTTCAAGGCACAGGAGGAAGTGGCCTTGGACAGAGGAGGGACGCCTCCTCTCCTGTAGTGGGAGGGGGAACGGAGATGAGGCAAGGGTCTGAAAGTAGGCATGTGGGTTTAAATTTCTCAGTGAGGTAGGCAGTGAGGTCACCTGCCAGGGAGAGTGAAGTGGGTGGAGACCCTCTGACACGGTTACTAGAGTCCGCCGAGGTGAGTGATGAGAGGATGAATCGATACTTTGATCAGTTTGTCCCGCTGTGTAACTTCTTGCTGGAGTGCTTGCTAGCTGGGTGCAGGTGGTGCAAGGCACACACCATTGGGTGGTTCGGGACGGGGATCTTGCCCGAAGGCTGAGATGGAAAGGCAGGAGACAAAGGGACCTAGAGTAGTGCAGCCAGATTACTCAGCTGGGATCCTGGGATCCCACCCCTGGGATCTCAGCTGACTTCAGAAGGCCAGGGCTGATGACAGCACAAAGGGGAAAGGACTAGAGGTCCCACTGAGGCCCAACATCCCATGAGAATTCTCATTTGATACTGAGCAAGCTAAGAAAGTCTAGATGATCACAAAATAAATCTAAAACATATGACTCTTACAATAATGGTGACACAGAAAAGCATGGCATGTTGGAACCAAAGCAAGAGGTTTTTTTTTTTGTATTATGATGTGAAATTAACTAGCTTAGTAAAATTTTTTCAAACTGGGAGTTGCCACTGAAATTCAAGGCATTATAAACTCTTTTCATTTTATCATTGGTGATTGCTCCCTATCTATCTATGCCAAGGTGGTATTTCAAAGGACTTTGCCTAGGATCTATTTATTCATTACCAAGTCTGGTAATTAACAAATGCTTTCAAGTAATGAGAGGACTGAAGCTGGGGGTGGAAGGGGAAGCAGAAGACTTAAGAACAAACACTGAATTTATTTCCCCAACCAAATTGTGGCAGGAACTCCAACTATAAGGTTTAAAATAGAAACTTCACCAGGAAAAGCCCAAGGCCAGATGGCATCTGAACCCAGCTTCTGTCGCCCCTACTAACCAGTTATGTTTACTCCGAGCTTCTGAGCCCTCCCAACAGGCAGCGGCCAGGACCAGGTTTAAAATTAAGAAGGAAGGGCTTCCCTGGTGGCGCAGTGGTTGGGGGTCCGCCTGCCGACGCAGGGGACGCGGGTTCGTGCCCCGGTCCGGGAGGATCCCACATGCCGCGGAGCGGCTGGGCCCGTGAGCCATGGCCGCTGAGCCTGCGCATCCGGAGCCTGTGCTCCACAACGGGAGAGGCCACAACAGCGAGAGGCCCGCATACCGCAAAAAAAAAAAAAAAAAAAAATTAAGAAGGAAAATGGCTGTGGGGGCACTGGCAAAAAAATTTTTCAGGGATATGATTTTTTCCTCTACCCTTGGATGCTGCTATATTTATCTTAGGCGAAGATAGGTGGGTTTTGTTTTTTGTTTTTTGTTTTTGCTTTTGAGATAACACATCTACAAATGCTCACTGAGTTGCTGATGCTAATGCTGAAAATAAGAGCTGTTTCCTTGATTTCAAATTAACTGATTAGAGTGAACAAGGCAGTTTAGTTCATCCCTCAGAGGATGAATTAAAAGTGAGACCAGGCAAAAAAATCTCTAATAACTCACCAAGAAAATTAACAAAGATATATCAAAGAATGACGTTAGCTAGTATTCAAGCATGTGCGCGTGCACACACACTCACACACACAAAATAATGTTAGCAGGAAGTAATTTAAATTACTTTTAATAGTGATCCATGGAGTAAATGCAATTAATTTGGAAATTCAATTCTTGGTCTTTAGGGAGGTACTAACAGTTGAACAGTAGATTATTTCAGAAAGGTGGCTGAAAGACTAGCGTGTACAAAAGGGAAAAACCAGGAAGAAATGCGTGGACATGTTCATAGAATGGAACTGGGAATTGGGAAGGGAGCTTAGAAATCAGTCCACCTCCTTCTCCGTGAAGAAATCGTTCTCCAAACCCCTGACTGTAGGAACTAAGTCTAACTTACAGACTATGGGAATTACATCTAATTTGCTGCTAAAATTTTTCATGGTATCTTTGGAGGAAGAAGACAGGAAGGAGAATGGAAACCACGGCTGGTGCCAGACCTCAGGGAACTGGACAGAAGTATAATGTTCTCAGATGAAGCCGACTTCCTGATTCTTTCCAAATGTGGGAGAATGATGCGTGAGTGGCAGCCCCAGGTGACGACAACATTTAAGAATAATTCCTAGGGCTTCCCTGGTGGTGCAGTGGTTGAGAGTCCGCCTGCCGATTCGGGGGACACGGGTTCGTGCCCCGGTCCGGGAAGATCCCACGTGCCGCGGAGCGGCTGGGCCCGTGAGCCATGGCCGCTGAGCCTGCGCGTCTGGAGCCTGTGCTCCGCAACGGGAGAGGCCACAACAGTGGCCGCGTATGGCAAAAAAAAAAAAAAAAGAATAATCCCTAGGAGCGTTCTCTAGAAACTAGCACCCAGTGACTTGGCCACACAGAGGTCCACGTGTGCACAGCGACCCTGTGACCACCCACTGGCTTTGACTTCAGAGTCATTTCACGTGCAAGTGCCTTAACAATAAAGGGCAAAACCTCTGATGGTAAATTTAAATTCCTACAACACCCATTCCTGCAAGATCCTACACGCTTGTATCATGGGGCGGGGGTCCACTTTCTCATTCACTTAACAAGCATTTATGGAAGTTCACGTTTGTTTTGAGGAACGCAGGGATGCTCGCGGAGCAGACGGTTGTAAATGAGGCATCAGCCGGTTCTGTCCATCACCTGAAAGGGGCTCTGAGCAGCTTTGATGGACACACGGACCACATTTACCTGAGCTATGACGTCTGAGATTGAGGCACATCCGACCAGGAAACTGTATTTGTGTTTTAAGAGAATGCCAGCATGGGTCCATGCCTGCCAGGAAGGAGAGAATAGGGTATGAGATACACCTTTGGGATGAGGTTATTTCTGGTCGTTATGAGTCCCTGGGCA